AAGATTATTTTTCATGTGACAATAGTTAATCTGCTATGAGACCCGATTTATTATAACCTCTTTTGAGTTGTACAATGCATATGATTACTTAAAAAACAAAACAAAAAACAACAACGCGGATACAGCGTATTGAAAAAGGGATGGGGTGGGGATCAGCTCCTCTTTTAGGGGTGTGTGTGTGTGTGTGTGTGGGGGGGGGGGGGGGGTTTAGAGGTGCACATCTATTTAGAAATGCATCATAAGTATGCTAATTATTCGGAAAATAATTTGCATTTGTCAGACAAAAAGTTACTAAATGATTTAGTTGTAATGTTTTTTATATGTCATTGTGATAAGTTCGCTTAAACGTAGGTGTGTGTTGGGTGGGGTTTAAAGGTGCACCCTCGCAAGGGCTATCCTGTGATTTAATATCTAACTTAGATAAAAGTAATTGTTACTGTAAAATTTTAACATCACACATATTGCTTTATGTCTCATTAACTAATGTTTCAGTTCTCCGTAAATACGTCAGTTGTTGTCTGTCTACAACAGATACTGCTTCATGTCTCGCTAACTAATGTTTCAGTTCTCCGTAAATACGTCAGTTGTTTGTCTGTCAACAACAGATACTGCTTCATGTCTCGCTAACTAATGTTTCAGTTCTCCGTAAATACGTCAGTTGTCTGTCAACAAACAACAGATACTGCTTCATGTCTCGCTAACTAATGTTTCAGTTCTCCGTAAATACGTCTTTTGTTGTCTGTCAACAATAGATACTGCTTCATGTCTAAATAAATCACGTTTAAATGTCCAGCAAATATATTAATTGTAATATTATTGTCTATAAATAGCAGAAAATGTTTCATTTCTATTTACAATAGTTCAGCTTTCAGTTAATGTATGAATAGTAATATTATTGTCGGTGAAAAACCAATACAGTATAGTTTCTCAATAAATCTTGATTTAGTGAAAGAGGTGTCAGTTCTCAGCCATCTTTTGGTTTTGCATGCTAGGACACGTTGTAAGGGAACAATACATTAGTTAAGGCCGTGTCCCGATCTGCGCAGGTGTTTAAAGGGCAATTCACACGGAAATTAACCTATTTTTCTTGTACTTTTTCCACATTAAAAGTGTTAACCTAGAAGTGTCATAGACAAAAATATAAAAATATCACAATTAATTAACATATTTTTCGCGTTAAAACGATTTATATTTTTCACATTTACCAAGTGTTCTATTTCCACAACAAAAACACCATGGCTTATGCCCCTTGCAATATGACGTCATTGGTGCCAATTGATAAACATTATGACGTCATCATGCTTTGTTAGAGCCGCTTCACGTGGTGTAGGTCTAGGTGTGTGATTCTAGCGTCTCAGATGCCAGCCAGCATAGTGTTATGCTGAGTCACCACTGCGCCGGAGTGTGTCGTAGGCCATGTTGTTTTACCGCAAACTGGTACTTGATATCTTTTGCGTTGAGAATAGACAGGGACCCAGTTGAATTGGCACCAATTACGTCATAATCTAAGGGGGATAACTCAGGCCTGTTTAGCTCGAAAAACGAAGGCCTCATAACGGCATATCATTTTCACACTATTGTGAGCTTCCTACTTTCACTGTGAAAAAAATGAGTGTATATTTTCAAACACAGATACTAATTAATTCTAAAATTGCGTTTTGTTTAGAAAAAGAAAGAAAGTGATTTTTACGTGTACACTTCCCCTTTAAGGGCGAGTAGCTGAAAATGGTCACGTCTTGGCATTGGCGTTATAAATCATATACGATACTGATTCATCGCGCCTGTTTAATCATATCATTGACTGTTAGATTTACATCCGTGATAAATTTCAAGAAGCAGAGAAAGTTCCAAATGACCTTATTACATTTCCTTTGGTAAATTGTAAGCATGCAACTTTTGTTTGTTTGTTGTTTAACGCCGCTCTCAGCAATATTCCAGCTATATGACGGCGGTGTATAAATAAGCGAGTCTGGGCCAGACAATCCAGTGAATGATATCATGAGCATCGATCTACGTAATTGGGATACGATGACATGCACCAACCAAGTCAGCGCGCCTGACCACCCTATCCCGTTAGTCGCCTTTTATTTTACGACAAGCATGGTCGCCTTTTACGGCAAGTATGGGTTGCTGAAGACCTATTCTACCTGACCTTTCAGAGAATACACATGTAGGTTTTGAAAATGTGACCGAAATGGTATCTAAATATCCCTAATGTTTTTTATGGTTTTTTTTCACTTAAACATTCAGTTCCTGTTCCGCAATATGAGTTAATGAATATTTAAAGTTAAAGCGGTATAGCTTTCGTGAATCTTTCTTAAGTGTGGATTAAAGCCTTGCCTGGACGTTTTGTACGCTGAAGGTTGATCCAGGTTGGTGTGCTGGTGTGCTGACCAACCCATGCTTGTCTTGTTTGAACAGTTATGAGAAACAAGCTGTTTGTTTATTTAGCCTTTACAAAAACCCATGTCGAAACGCGATTATTTTTCATCAATATCCATATAATAAAATATTCACGGGGAACAAACATTAATAGTTTTACCTACATGTAACCGGGTACATGGACCTTATTTAGTCGAAAATACAGCGTCTGTTTGAATAATCCTGATATGGAGTGACCTGTCGACTGTGGACATAAATCTTCCTCGGTGAAAGTCATCCCCTCCTGACTATACCGTTACAATTATAAGATAAAAAGAAAAGAAAAAAGTAATTTATACACGGAGGCGAGCAGCCCGTGCTGTGAGGGTCACACTTGTAGCACGCTGAACGTATCACGTAACTCACACCCTACAGTCAAGGACATGGGCTGCAAAAGAACGAGGTTCGCTTTGTTTTCTACAAGGAAATAGTTTTGTTTGAAATAAGGAAAAATCTCCACACGAGTAACTAGAGCGTGTTGATGTTACAGGTGACGTATTGGCTTTGTTCAAAACTGAGTTGCTTAGCGACATCGTAAGCCTCCAGTTGGGGCAAAGTATACCATCAAAGTGGGACAAATACTTTCTCAATATAAATAACGAGTGAGTATTGTTTTACGCCGCTTTTAGCAATATTCCAGCAATATCACGGCGGGGGACACCAGAAATGGGCTTCACACATTGTACACATGTGGGGAATCGAACCCGGGTTTTCGGCGTGACGAGAGAACGCGTTAACCACTAGGCTACCACACCGCCACTCTCAGTATGTATATTCCAAGTAAATACATATATGTGTTAATTTCTTTTTCGGGTGAAGGGAGGTCAAATCGACTGAAACGCGGCCGATCAGTTATGGGCTTTTCTAAATGGAAATATGGACAGATATAGCTAAAAGGTCGACCATTAGATATTGGCGTGGGGGTAGATAAAGAATATTCTTAGGTCAATAGATCAATGCGAAATGAGAAACCGAACATATATTTTAAAGTAAATACTTGCTAGTACTGTTTTTCAGCATTTTCCCACCTCCCCATCCCTGTTTATAAAATTGGCCAAACCGTGTGCTCCGCGCGCCTTAGGGCTGTTCCGTAAAGCGATGTTACGCTATGCCGCTCTTAACTCAAGTACATTTAACATGGACTTACGATCGACGCAGCGCTAAGAGGGCTTTGTGAACATGAGCCAATAACGAGTAACTATCTCTTCATACTAACGTCATTATGCACAAGGCGATCTATTGCTTCAAAAATATTTCTAAAGCTACACCGCGCAAAATTATTTATACATCCATGTTTGATGGTGGCTAAATGAAACAAACACGGCTGGTCGGTTGGTTGGTTTGTTGTTTGCCGCACTCAGAATATTATTCGTCTTAATGACGAGCTTCAGGCAGGGAAACAACAAGAACCATCTTTTAACGTATTTTTGTATTACGCTACCGGGGATCGAATCACCAACCTTTCACTCTCCGGGTAGACGCTCTATTCACTTTGTTTCTTAGTTTGTTGTTTAACGCTGCACTCAGCAATATTCCAGCTATATGACGGCGGTCTGTATATAATCGAGTCTGGACCAGACAATCCAGTGATTGACATCATGGGCATCGATCCACACAATTGGGATCGATGACATGCATCAACCAAGTCAGCGAGCCTGACCATCCGATCCCGTTAGTCGCCTCTTACGACCAGCATAGTCGCCTTTTAGGGCAAGCATGCTTAAGATCTTTTTCACCCCAAATCTTCACGGGTCGAAACAAACAAGGAATGGCGATGTATTTGAGACAGGTGTCATAGGCGATATTACATTCATCATATCAATGAGTATCTCACGACAGGTCACGTGCACATGTACATTTCACAGTCTACAGTTATGAGCAGAGTGAAGCGAAAATTTTAATGTGTATACTTTCTTTCAATTTTGCCCGACAGTTGAGTACATCTAATGTAATTTATTCACTCTAACATTGAATCATTTGTCTCAAACCAATAAATAAACTCACATTTCGCAAAGTTAGTTTTCTAATGTAATCAGTTAACATTTACTCGTGAATGAATTCTGGTACAAGAGGTTATCGCTAGGTCTACACAAGTGTCATATCTCGGCACGTATGCCCTATGGTATAATTACATACAAACTTTAAAAAATCACCTAACCTAACCCACTGATTATCTGCAACGCAAGTGAATTTTGAAAGCGGAGCAAATTCCACCGAAACATAATTAAAAATGAAATGAAATAAATAGTGTTCATATATGTAATTGACAACAGGCAAATGATCATGATTGGTTTGGAAATGTCATACTGTCACAGGTATTTCCAATTCTCAACTTGAAATATTTACAATTATAACATTTCAATATGCGTTTGCTATGAATGTACATACATAAAGGCGATTTTAAAAAACTCAGGTGTATAATACATATATTACCCACCAGGAAGTCAGACAGTTACACAACCATGTCGATATCATGTTTATAGCTGTCGCCTTCCCTATGGGCTATAGACGACAATGAAATAAAACGTTGTACATATCAATCTGATATCACTTTCATATCCCCGTCGCTAAGCACCTACCGTAAAGTGTGTCAAATATATACTCCTGTTTGCGGCTCTGAAACTCTGTTAAAGAATTCCCAGTTCGAACAGTCCCGTTCATCGCCATTTTAGACAAAAAAATGCGATTTCACTGTGGTCCGAACAGCGAAAAAAGCCGAGCGTAAGTTCACAGGTGTATTCGGAAGCTTACGTGAGGCTCCATATGGGGTGTCGCAACAGGTGGCCACTGCGGTATTTCACATGACTGTCTTTCATTTGTGACCTTGTCAGGTATGTTTGCCATCCACTTCAACGACATATTGCCGCGTGGGCGTGGTCTAGCGCTGCCATTGTGTACTTGCATGAAATAATTGTGGTAATTTAATATACGGACGTATTGATAGCGGCAAATTTTTGATATACTGATGGTCACAAGTCACGCAACAATACGTTTTAATCACTGACAGCAGAAATTCATACCCCTTAAATGTACGGTATAACCGTGTTTTGCACATTGAAAATAATTAGGCTGTTTGTATATTATTTCTAGGCATACATATACTAATTAAGCTAGTTAGGTTTGTTTGTTTGTTTGTTTGTTGTTTAACGTCGCACTCAGCAATATTCCAGCTATATGACGGCGGTCTGTAAATATTCGAGTCTGGACCAGACAATCCAGTGATTGACATCATGAGCATCGATCCACGCAATTGGGATCGATGCGAGCATCAACCAAGTCAGCGAGCCTGACCGCCCGATCCCGTTAGTCGCCTCTTATGACCAACGATGGCCTCACTGTGGTAGCACAGCTGGCCCAGTTGTGAAAATTCCCTGTGAAGAGTTGCGTCCCTTTATTGTGAATGGATCCGTTGATCTTAAGTTCGAACCAATGTTCGCCCTGATTATGACCCTCGATTTGTCATCACTATACCCATGCGTTTTAGCGTCACCTGGGTGGCATACGTCACATGATCCATGACCTAAGCTCAACCCTACCCTGGGTGTTGTGATATTTCCCAAGCGGCGGTGGGGGCACGGGTGGCCCAGTCGTCTAAGGCGCCGCGATTCACTGTGCAGAGTTGCGTCCCTTGGGCACGCCAGAAACCTATGATTGTGGGTTCGAATCCCGGTTCGCCCCGATTATGTTTCTAGGTTTGTCAGCACCATACCCGTGATCGTGGGTTTCACCGAAGTGGTAAACGTCTGAGACCTGCATCACTTCGGGCTTTCCTCCCATATTTAGCTCACACGCCGCGATATAACTGGAATACTGTTGAAAAGCGGCGTTAAAACCCAACTCACCATCACCACCACCCAAGCGGCGTTATGCCTCGTAACCCATTCACTCACTGGACCCGTGAAGATCCGGGTTAGAATAGGTCTCCAGCAACCCATGCTTGTCGAAATAAACGACTAACGGGATCGGGTGGTCAGGCTCGCTGTTTTGTAGATGCGCAAATTCATTGCGCTTACCTTGACGACCAGTCCTTGTTTTATCCCCTTAATCCAGAGGGCCAGGCAGGGTAACAACAATTAGCATCTTTCTGCGTCTGGTATGACGCGGCCGGGAGTCGAACCATCTAGAACCCACTAGACCACGGATGCGGTCCTTAAGTTATAGTCGTATCTGTATATACCATCTGGTGTTTGGTCGTCGAGTATATATTACAACATCCTTTTCATTGTTTAACTGGCCCATGTCAAAACATTCTGTGATTAAGCACGATAGAATCATTTGCCATCGTTTTTTTGACGTTAGTTGAGATCTTTGTTTTGAAATATTCACGACGCTGCTAGTTATGGTTATAAATTTTGAATTGGGTGAAACTTGAAGCCGCAATGACGAGGGAGTTTCTAAAGTATCGATGTCTGCGTGGGACACCCTACTGTGTCGCGACGGGTCGGGTCTGAGAGAAGTGTATTCTATCCCTCTACCCACTTATTTCATGTAAAATGAATGGTAATGTCAGTTTGGAGATTACCCCTCGTTTACGAATTAGCACTTGAGATGCTTTGAGTGTTATCACCAAATCAGCAAGATAACTTACACAATATATCCCGTGGGAATGCCATGTTATAGATGGACCAGGACGAGGGGACGGTTGGGGGAGGGAGGGGAGGGGAGACGGGTTAGTGAAGGAGGGAGGGAGAGGGATGACTGGTTGTGAAGGAGGGAGGGGCGGATGGGTTAGTGAAGGGTGGGAGGTGAGGGCGTGACGGGTTGTGAAGGAGGGAGGGGGAGGGGTGAAGTGTTGTGAAGGAGGGAGGGGAGGGGAGGGTTGACTGGTTGTGAAGGAGGGAGGGGGAGGGGTGAAGTGTTGTGAAGGAGGGAGGGGAGGGGAGGGTTGACGGGTTGTGAAGGAGGGAGGGGGAGGGGTGAAGTGTTGTGAAGGAGGGAGGGGAGGGGAGGGTTGACTGGTTGTGAAGGAGGGAGGGGAGGGGTGAAGTGTTGTGAAGGAGGGAGGGGAGGGGTGAAGTGTTGTGAAGGAGGGAGGGGAAGGAGGGAGGGGTGAGGGGGTGACTGGTTGTGAAGGAGGGAGGGGGAGGGGTGAAGTGTTGTGAAGGAGGTAGGGGAGGGGTGACAGTTTCTGAAGGAGGGAGGGGAGGGGTGAAGTGTTGTGAAGGAGGTAGGGGAGGGGTGACAGTTTCTGAAGGAGGTAGGGGAGGGGTGACAGTTTCTGAAGGAGGGAGGGGAGGGGTGAAGTGTTGTGAAGGAGGGAGGGGAAGGAGGGAGGGGGGAGGGGGTGACTGGTTGTGAAGGAGGGGAGGAGAGGGCGTGACTGGTTGTGAAGGAGGGAGGGGGAGGGGTGAAGTGTTGTGAAGGAGGGAGGGGAGGGGAGGGTTGACTGGTTGTGAAGGAGGGAGGGGAGGGGTGAAGTGTTGTGAAGGAGGGAGGGGAGGGGAGGGTTGACTGGTTGTGAAGGAGGGAGGGGAGGGGTGAAGTGTTGTGAAGGAGGGAGGGGGAAGGGTGAAGTGTTGTGAAGGAGGGAGGGGAAGGAGGGAGGGGTGAGGGGGTGACTGGTTGTGAAGGAGGGAGGGGGAGGGGTGAAGTGTTGTGAAGGAGGTAGGGGAGGGGTGACAGTTTCTGAAGGAGGGAGGGGAGGGGTGAAGTGTTGTGAAGGAGGGAGGGGAAGGAGGGAGGGGTGAGGGGGTGACGGGTTGTGAAGGAGGTAGGGGAGGGGTGACTGGTTGTGAAGGAGGGGAGGAGAGGGCGTGACTGGTTGTGAAGGAGGGAGGGGAGGGGTGAAGTGTTGTGAAGGAGGGAGGGGAAGGAGGGAGGGGTGAGGGGGTGACGGGTTGTGAAGGAGGTAGGGGAGGGGTGACTGGTTGTGAAGGAGGGGAGGAGAGGGCGTGACTGGTTGTGAAGGAGGGAGGGGAGGGGTGAAGTGTTGTGAAGGAGGGAGGGGAAGGAGGGAGGGGTGAGGGGGTGACTGGTTGTGAAGGAGGGAGGGGAGGGGTGAAGTGTTGTGAAGGAGGGAGGGGAGGGGTGAAGTGTTGTGAAGGAGGGAGGGGAGGGGTGACAGTTTCTGAAGGAGGGAGGGGAGGGGTGAAGTGTTGTGAAGGAGGGAGGGGAGGGGTGAAGTGTTGTGAAGGAGGGAGGGGAAGGAGGGAGGGGTGAGGGGGTGACTGGTTGTGAAGGAGGGAGGGGGAGGGGTGAAGTGTTGTGAAGGAGGTAGGGGAGGGGTGACAGTTTCTGAAGGAGGGAGGGGAGGGGTGAAGTGTTGTGAAGGAGGGAGGGGAAGGAGGGAGGGGTGAGGGGGTGACGGGTTGTGAAGGAGGGAGGGGAGGGGTGAAGTGTTGTGAAGGAGGGAGGGGAAGGAGGGAGGGGTGAGGGGGTGACGGGTTGTGAAGGAGGGAGGGGAGGGGTGAAGTGTTGTGAAGGAGGGAGGGGAAGGAGGGAGGGGTGAGGGGGTGACTGGTTGTGAAGGAGGGAGGGGAGGGGTGAAGTGTTGTGAAGGAGGGAGGGGAGGGGTGAAGTGTTGTGAAGGAGGGAGGGGAAGGAGGGAGGGGTGAGGGGGTGACTGGTTGTGAAGGAGGGAGGGGGAGGGGTGAAGTGTTGTGAAGGAGGGAGGGGAGGGGAGGGTTGACTGGTTGTGAAGGAGGGAGGGGAGGGGTGAAGTGTTGTGAAGGAGGGAGGGGAGGGGTGAAGTGTTGTGAAGGAGGGAGGGGAAGGAGGGAGGGGTGAGGGGGTGACGGGTTGTGAAGGAGGGAGGGGAGGGGTGAAGTGTTGTGAAGGAGGGAGGGGAAGGAGGGAGGGGTGAGGGGGTGACGGGTTGTGAAGGAGGTAGGGGAGGGGTGACTGGTTGTGAAGGAGGGGAGGAGAGGGCGTGACTGGTTGTGAAGGAGGTAGGGGAGGGGTGAAGTGTTGTGAAGGAGGGAGGGGAAGGAGGGAGGGGTGAGGGGGTGACTGGTTGTGAAGGAGGGAGGGGAGGGGTGAAGTGTTGTGAAGGAGGGAGGGGAGGGGTGAAGTGTTGTGAAGGAGGGAGGGGAAGGAGGGAGGGGTGAGGGGGTGACTGGTTGTGAAGGAGGGAGGGGGAGGGGTGAAGTGTTGTGAAGGAGGGAGGGGAGGGGAGGGTTGACTGGTTGTGAAGGAGGGAGGGGAGGGGTGAAGTGTTGTGAAGGAGGGAGGGGGAGGGGGTGACGGGTTGTGAAGGAGGGAGGGGGAAGGGGGTGACCTGTTGTGAAGGAGGGAGGGGAGGGTGTCGGGTTGGTGAAGGAGGGAGGGGAAGGGGTGAAGTGTTGTGAAGGAGGGAGGGGAGGGTGTCGGGTTGGTGAAGGAGGGAGGGGGAGGGGGTGACGGGTTGTGAAGGAGGTAGGGGAGGGGTGACTGGTTGTGAAGGAGGGAGGGGGAGGGGGTGACGGGTTGTGAAGGAGGGAGGGGGAAGGGGGTGACGGGTTGTGAAGGAGGGAGGGGAGGGGAGGGTGTCGGGTTGTGAAGGAGGGAGGGGAGGGTGTCGGGTTGGTGAAGGAGGGAGGGTGAGGGGTGACGGGTTGTGAAGGAGGGAGGGGAAGGGGTTGACGGGTTGTGAAGGAGGGAGGGGAAGGGGGTGACGGGTTGTGAAGGAGGGAGGGGTGAGGGGGTGACGGGTTGTGAAGGAGGGAGGGGAGGGTGTCGGGTTGGTGAAGGAGGGAGGGTGAGGGGTGACGGGTTGTGAAGGAGGGAGGGGCAGGGGTTGACGGGTTGTGAAGGAGGGAGGGGAAGGGGGGGACGGGTTGTGAAGGAGGGAGGGGAAGGGGGTGACGGGTTGTGAAGGAGGGAGGGTGAGGGGTGACGGGTTGTGAAGGAGGGAGGGGAAGGGGGTGACGGGTTGTGAAGGAGGGAGGGGAAGGGGGTGACGGGTTGTGAAGGAGGGAGGGGGAGGGGGTGACGGGTTGTGAAGGAGGGAGGGGGAAGGGGGTGACGGGTTGTGAAGGAGGGAGGGGAGGGGAGGGTGTCGGGTTGGTGAAGGAGGGAGGGGGAGGGGGTGACGGGTTGTGAAGGAGGGAGGGGAAGGGGTTGACGGGTTGTGAAGGAGGGAGGGGAAGGGGGTGACGGGTTGTGAAGGAGGGAGGGGGAAAGGGGTGACGGGTTGTGAAGGAGGGAGGGGTGAGGGGGTGACGGGTTGTGAAGGAGGGAGGGTGAGGGGTGACGGGTTGTGAAGGAAGGGGGGTGAGGGGGTGAAATGTTGTGAAGGAGGGAGAGGTGGTGTCTTAGTGAAGGAGAGAGGAGGAGGGGTGACGGGTTGTGAATGAAGGAGGATGAAGGGGGGTGACGGATTGGTGAAGGAGGGAGGGGGAGGGGGTGACAGGTTGTGAAGGAGAGAGGGGGAGTGGTGACGGGTTTTGAAGGATGGAGGGGGTGACAGGTTGTGAAGGAGGGAGAGGGAGTGTTGATGGGTTAGTGAATGAGGTAGGAAGGGGGTGGCGTGTTAGTGGAGTTGGGAGGGGGAGGGTTGTCGGGCAAGTGGAGGAGGGAGTGGGAAGGGAAGTCGTGTTAGTGGAGGAGGGAGGGGGCGATGGGTTAGTGAAGGAGGGATGGAGAGGGGGTGTCGGGTTGGTGAAGGGGGGAGGGGGTGACGGTTTCGTGGAGAAGGGAGGGGAGGGGTGACGGTTTCGTGGAGAAAGGAGGGGAGGGGTGACAGTTTCGTGGTGAAGGGAGGGGAGGGGTGACGGGATTATTGCACATCATACTCACTCCGAGGCGACCAGTCCTTGTTTTATCACCAAAAGCCCATTCGATTTGAATAGTTGCGTCCCTTTGGCACGCCAGAAAATTTATGATTGTGAGTTCGATTCCCGGTTCGCTCCGATTAATATTTCTAGGTTTGTCAGCATCATAGCCCTGCTCATGGGTTTCTCCAAAAGTGGAAACGTTTAAGGTCTGCATCTTACATCAAGCTGACACGCCGTGATAAAACTGGAATTCTGTTCAAAGCGGCGTTAAACCCAACACACTCACTCTATTTTGATCTGAACAATTAAGATTTAAGCTTTCAGTATATTATTTGTTTATGATACATAATCATTGAGTCATTGAGTCATTGAAGTAAAAGATCGCATAAAGTTGAATAACATTCCTCTCAGTATCGTCATATTTTACACAATCCATGCTCAGGTTAATAAAACAACTTAACGACCTACTTTTACCTCATCTGAAAATATCTGATATAAATGTATGGAAAAATAATAACGAAGTCTCAGTTCCATAATTTTGTGGAACAAACTTAGAATTGGAATACTCACAGAAACAGAGGAGTCCAAAATAGATTATGAAATTCTATAAAGTCTCAGACTTCAAATCAAGTTTGAAATAGATTTTTAACAACAGCGCATCTGACAGCTTCGATTGTCCACTCGGTCTACGATAGGGTGTGTATTAAGTCCTGTTGCGGGGTGATTTCCAAATATACTACCGGGCAAAAGAAAGTAGACACTTGAAAATTGGATTTGACCAAAAGATAAACGTTATCAAAACGTTACTAGGCTGAAACTGTCGCCGAAACATTGCAAAACACAACTATGATACCCGTATGAAATACATCACCATCGAATAACCAATTCTTGTTTTTTTCATTTTTAGCCACACTTTGAACTAAACTCGGGAGTGACACTTTCTTTTGTCCAGCAGTTTAGAAGAGTAAAGGTAATTCTAGATTGGGTTCGTGCAGAACAAAACTGCGAAAACAGTAACTGACCACACAAGAGTTGGGATGGTGGGGTGATGGGATCAATGTCGCGTCCAAGATTATTGCACGTATATAGCAGCGTGCATGCACGTGTGTGTGTGTGTTTGGCTGATTGTGCTAGTCCGGACAATGCCGATATTATAGTGCTAGCTCACTGAGATACCATGCCGCAGTTTAACATGAATACCCCACTCAGACACAGTATACTGACTCCGAGCCGACCTTTCCTTGTTTTAGCCCCTTAATGCCGAGCGCCAGACAGGGTATGGTATGACGCGACCGGGGATGGAACCGCTGACCTTCCCGGCGCTCTCCTGGCGGACGCTCTAACCACTAGACCACGGAGGCGGTCCAAGGTGAGATGAAATGAAGTTTAACGTCCAAGACAATTGCACTTATATAGCGACGTGCATGCGCGTATGTGTGTGGCTGCTTGTACTAGTCCGGACTGATGCTGGTTTTATTATGCTTGCCCACTGAGATACCATTCCGCAGTTTTAACAAGAATACCTTACTCAGACACATTAAACTGTCTCAGAGCCGACCAGTCCCCCTTAATGCCTAGCGCCATTCTTCAGCTTGCTTGCCGTAAAAGGTGACTATGCTTATCGCAGGAGGCGACTAACGGGATCGGGTGGTCAGCGTCCCTGACTTGGTTCATGCATGTCATCGTATCCCAATTGCGTAGATCAATGCTCATGATGTCAATCACTGGATTGTCTGGTCCAGACTCGATTATTTACAGACCGCCGTCATATAGCTGCAATATTGCTGAGTGCAGCGTTAAACAACAACCTAACAAACAAAGTGGATAGAGCGTCTACCCGGAGTGACAGGTTGGTGGTTCGATCCCCGGCAGCGTAATACCCAAATACGTTAAAATATGGTTCTTGTTGTTTCCCTGCCTGAAGCTCGTCATTAAGAGGATTAAACAAGGACTCGGTATAGTGTGTCTAAGTGGGGTATTCATGTACAAAGTGCAGAGTGGTATCTCAGTTGGAGACCAGTTTAAAACCAACAATAGTCCGTACTTGTACAAACAGCCACACAAACACACAAATGCGTTTATTATGCCTCAAAGTGAGATTGACCAATCAGAGAGCAGAACTACTAACCCCACATGAATCCGTATTCCGTCAGTAAAAATCCAAGATGCTTGTCACTGACCTAATATGAGACCGTATACCGTCAGTAACAGCCATCTTGGATTTTCCAACACCCACCTCACATATTTCCGGTACAGAAATTCGTTATTCGACACTGTTTTGTGTTTTAATATAATTAATTTTGATGTGCAGAACGTTAATGATTTTTAGGTGATCACATTCGTGACTTTAATAAAGATTATATAAACTTAAAATTATCAACAAGGTTTGGCCTCTGAGGTTTGAAGAGTAGTCTCCCTTTGACCCTTAACGCCCGAGGTTTAAGTGTTACGTTTTGAGTTTTAAGTTTTGACATGACGTGTGCGACAAAGATACCAAATAGTGTAAACATTTCGGCATAATAAATCCGTTATGGTGTCTTTAGTTGTCGTATACGGTGTCATATTAGGTTAGCCGAAAAATATTGGCGTTAATATTTTTCAGCTAACCTAATATGACATTGTATACAGCAACTAAAGACACCATAACTAATAATATAAGTGCAATAATCTTGAATATCCCGAAACCAGATGTCACCTCACCTCATCCCACCCAAGGGGGCACGGGTGGCCCAGTCGTCTAAGGCGCCGCGATTCGCTGTGTAGAGTTGCGTCTTGTGGGTTCGAATCCCGGTTCGCCCAAATTATGTTTCTAGGTTTGTCAGCACCATACCCGTGCTCGTGGGTTTCACCGAAGTGGTTAACGTCTGAGACCTGCATCACTTCGGGCTTTCCTCCCACATTAAGCTGACACGCCGCGATATAACTGGAATACTGTTAAAAGCGGCGTTAAACCCAACTCACTCACTCACTCATCCCACCCAAACTACCACTCCTCCCGTGCCGCTGAGAGCAAAGTCTGCAAATCGTTAACATATTTTACAAAAAATCTATGTATTCAGATATTTATTTGAAGTAAGTACTTCATATTCTTTTAACACGTGAATTTACTCGTCCTAATTTTTAATTTCTGGCACATATCTTGAGGAAACATCATTCACCGATAATTCCTTTTTCCAATTCAACACAATAATAACTGAAATCTTCGTGCAATGTTGATCGAAAATTGTATTATTAGGTATCGTTCTCAAAATATCCAACAAAATAGATCGATCAAGTTTAATTCAACCGATCTATACACAAGACTTAATGAGATCCAGGCAAAGTGAGTGAGTGAGTTTGGTTTAACGCCGCTTTTAACAGTATTCCAGTTATATCGCGGCGTGTCAGCTTTATGTTGGAGGAAAGCTCGAAGTGATGCAGGTCTCAGACGTTTACCACTTCGGTGAAACCCACGAGCACGGGTATGGTGCTGACAAACCTAGAAACATAATCGGGGTGAACCGGGATTCGAACCCACAATCGTAGGTTTCTGGCGTGCCCAAGGGACGCAACACTGCCCAGCGAATCGCGGCGTCTTAGACGACTGAGCCACCCGTGCCCTCCTCCAGGCAAAGACATGATTTGTGATAGATAGAATTCACAATGGGAAAACTTGAACAAATATTTTTTTTATAAAATATAATATGATTTTCCTATTATGACTTATCAAACCAACATACGACCTGAAACAAATAGATATACATGTTTCCCTCGCCAGCGAAAGTATTTATAATATCTGATCGTCTTGCTAAGGTGTCCTTCTCGACCCTCGTGTCCTACAAAATAGCATGTGTACACACCTCAACCCTTGACATTCTGTTATGCGACCGCCAAGTGACGTTTTTACGCTGCTTGAGTTGATAGCATCAATGTAATTACCTACGCTCCCGGGGAACTTTCTCTATAAAGAGGTTCATTATATGATGTTTGTTAATAGAAATATCATTTGCTATTTTTCATGTCTAATATTTTATATACGTGTATCTATGTAGTCCCTGTGGAAAAGGGGTACCTAGTGGTTAAAGCCTTCGCTCGGTCAGTCTGAAGACCTGGGTCCGATTCCCCTAATGGGAACAATGTGTGAAAACTGGTGCCGTGATATTGCTGGAATATTGCTAAAAGCGGCGTAAAACCATACTCACTCTTTTGTGTTGTAAATCGTGTACATGCTTACATAGGGGTAATGGCGATGTATCGTAATTAAAGTTATGATGATGATGATAATAGATGATGGATGATGATGATAATTATTTTTTATTATTGATGATGATGATGATTGTTTATTGATGATGATGATGATGATGGTGGTGATGATGATGATGATGATGATGATGATGATGATGATGATCATGATAGGCCAAAATCCACATCCTAAAGCATCCTACAATATTGTAACCCCGGTCGATGGATCAGTGTGAACTTGATCCGGGGTAGAATTGAGCTTCAGCTTCTCATGGGGAGATGTGGGGGTGGTTCATAGGCATTAGGGAGGCCACTAAACCACCGCAAATGAAATCCAATGAATGATCATTCTTTTCCTTATATTACAGGCGTGGGCTTCCAACATAGTACGTATCAATAGTCATCATCATCATCATCATCATCATCATCATCATCATCATTCTTCTTCTTATTATTATTATTAATATTATTTGGTGGACGTGAGTGTTTACACCGAATTCAGCAATATTCCATATGTTTGTTTGTTGTTTAACGCCGCACTCAGCAATATTCCAGCTATATGACGGCGGTCTGTAAATAATCGAATCTGGACCAGACAGTCCAGTGATTGATATCATGAGCATCGATCCACGCAATTGGGATCGGTGACATGCATCAACCAAGTCAGCGAGCGACCACCCGATCCCGTTAGTCGCCTCTTACGACAAGCATAGTCGCCTTTTACGGCTAGTATGACATTTTCAACCCCGGATCTTCACGGGTCGTATTCAAGCTAGTGTTTTAGGTTCGCTTGTTTTGTTTGTGTGTTGTTTAACGCCGCAATCAACAACACAGCAGCCACAGGACGTCAACGGCGGTCTGTGAATAATCGAATGTTGACTAGACAATCCAGTGATTGATTTCATGAGCATCAATCCAAGCCTTGGGGGTCCGGTGACACGAATCCTACATGTCACCAAGCCTGACAATACAATCCATTATAATAAAGTGTCAGTGTCCAATAATTCGAAGAATGTGCAATTAGTTGACCTTGGCGCCTGCGCAGGGCAGGATCCGACAGGGTGCACTTTGTGCACGTGCAGCACGTGATTGAGACGCAGCAGACATTACTTTTGTCTTCTGTGTCCAACACCTGTTAAGTATGATTATAACAGTGTCTTTACCAATATAGCTTAAGATAAGCGAGTTGATGAAACTAAAACTAAGATCACGTGGCTAATCACGAATGTGATTATCGTATTATTATCCACGCTATGTAATTCGGGTCGACATGACATCACAATGGTATAGCGTGACGTCACAACAATTATTATGTCATCACGTTACGTCAAAAGAGGTTATCACGCGAGTGTGTTTGGGGGTGGCAAATATCCTGTATTGGGAATAAACACTATATTTATCGAGCCTTGAAATCGATTTTCGCGTAAGTTTACCAGCTTTATAATAAGTGATATATATATAGAGTCGTTACTTTTACATCTAGATTTATGTGTGAAGCCCATTTCTGGTGATATTCCTGGAATATTGCTAAAAGCGGCGTAAAACCAAACTCACCCACTACATCTAAATTAGCAATGTTTACCCGAATATAAAATCAAAAGCATAAATGCCTTCGGATAAAGTTCGGCAATTCGGAATAAAAGTTATTATGGCTGAAATGGATAGAATTATCATTAAACCGCCCGCATGTTATCAAAAATGAGCGGGCCACTGTAACTTGATAATGCCCTCATATTGATTGACGACGGGCCTTTATCACGCCCGTTGTTAGGTGACGTCATAGGGATAGAGATAGGTGACGTCACGTTGAATACTGACGTCAACTGGTTTGTTCTATGACGTTTCCATATTTGTAAAAGTGGGTCAGTGACATTCGTCTTGATTGCAGTAAATGTTTCTTTTCAACTGCCATACTTCGTCAGGCAGTTAATGGAAGACATTGGGCTTCTGCCCTAAAAAATAGCGTTACCCTTATAGTGACCAATATATGTTACATCTAATAAAGTCTATGTTGTGCAATGTCGGCCAACAACTAGCACACCCTCCAACCAAAAGGTCAATTCCTTTGAATACGATTCTCATTCTGTCACACCCAGGTGTGTGGGATTTGACCTATTCTCATACGCGTGGTTAATATTTCTGTCACAATATTTATCTCACAAGCGCAATGAGGACCAGCTGACAGGTTAGGTCAAATGTCAAGGGTTAGGTGACGTGGTCGCTGACCTGTATACGAGGGAGCAAGCATTGTCTCGGAGGGAGCATGGGGCATGGCCTGTCGACAGCGGACACCGAAAATATGACAACTGAGCAATGTCGCGCAAAACAAATGTGCAGTGATGCGGCTTATATTGATGTGGTCATTGGGACATAATAATTAACGGTGCAATATCTAACGAGGGGTAACGGTTGTTTTCGAGAGGTTTTTTAGTTAGATGTGGAGATTGGCAGACTGTTTCAATCAACAATGTATCAGATTGACAGCCGACAGTGATGCGTTCATAAAATATATAATTAGGAGATAAACATGCTGTGTTTTCAATGTAGAGCTAGGTTACCTGTAGATTTAACCGCGCTAAATTGAATTTGGGACCGAACTGGAACTGTTAAATCTACAGGTAACCTAGCTCTACATTGAAAACACAGTATGTTTATCTCCATTCTACCTTGACTAAATAAAACGCGAACTCTTTGGTGTTAGCAAATATACTGAGTGAAACGGCATGGGTTGAGTCCAGTGTTTTGAGTGGGTTATCGATCTGAATTACGGAATCACCGAACAAAATATGGCGCTGTTTATACTCAAGCAGTTTGTTAACACCGTAATATTTTAATCGAACATATGACAGGCATTGAAAGCATATAAGCACGGCAACTTGGTAAGCTAACATGGGGTGGGCATCCCTAAAGAAAACAAAGCAAGCTTTGCAAGGCTGTCGCTCTACATCGCGCGTCACCATTACGACGTCATATCGCTCATTGTGTCCCAAAAGATATGACGTCACAGTCGTATATTGAAAAGCGCCAAAATTCCAAGCTCTCTGTTGCCTCCAAAACGTAAATACATTCCCTTTGTAGATTTCTATCGTGTTTTCTGCATGAAATGTATTGCCACACATCCTTTGAATATTGTAGTAACCGCATCTGTGCATTTCGTAACCTGTAATTGTAGATATAATTATTTAAACATGCCTACCGACAATGACTGAAAATAGTACTATTCTATGAATATTAGCTTCCGCGGTGATGAAGTCGTCAAACCAGCTGTCAATCAGAGGGGGTTTGTTGTGATTTAATAGCCTCTGATTGAATCAGAATCAAGTAAATTCCAAATTCATTGTAGAATAGCTGTTGGGCTTATACTATCCATAACAGCTGACACAGTTGCATGTGATACAGCTGTCTATTTCCCTACCTGCTATACAGCTGTAGTATTTCCCTGCATGTGACACAGCTGTAGTATTTCACTGCATTATATACAACTGCAGTATTTCCCAGCCTGATATACAGCTGTTTATTTCTCTGCATGTGATACAGCTGTAGTATTTCCTTGCATGTGATACAGCTGTAGTATTTCCGTGCATGTGATACAGCTGTAGTATTTCCCTGCATGTGATAGAGCTGTAGTATTTCCCTGCATGTGATACAGCTGTAGCATTTCCCTACATGTGATACAGCTGTAGTATTTCCTGCATGTGATACAGCTGTAGTTTTTTCCCTGCATGTTATACAGCTGTAGTATTTCTCTGCATGTGATACAGATGCAATATTTCCCTGCATGTGATACAGCTGCAGTATTTCCCTGCATGTGATACAGCTGCAGTATTTCCCTGCATGTGATACAGCTGCAATATTTCCCTGCATGTGATACAGCTGCAGTATTTCGCTGCATGTGATACAGATGTAGTATTTCCCTGCATGTGATACATATGCAATATTTCCCTGCATGTGATAAGGTGTAGTTTTTCCCTGCATGTGATACAGCTGTAGTATTTCTAAGCATGTGATACAGCTGCAGTACTTCCCTGCATGTGATACAGCTGTAGTATTTCCCTACATGTGATACAGCTGTAGTATTTTCCTGCATGTGATACAGCTGTAATATTTCCCTGCATGTGATACAGCTGCAGTATTTCCCTACATGTGATACAGCTGTAGTATTTCCCTACATGTGACACAGCTGTGGTATTTCCCTGCATGTGATACAGCTGTAGTATTTCCCTGCATGTGATACAGCTGCAGTATTTCCCTGCATGTGATACAGCTGTAGTATTTCCCGGCATGTGATACAGCTGTAGTATTTCCCTGCATGTGATACTTTGTAATATCGTCATGCCAGAGAAATATTTGTGACTGGTACAAGTATCTACCAGAAGAAAACATACAAATTTATGGATCAACTTCTGGTTTATTGCATTTCGATGTAGATCAACAACAACAACAACAACAACAACAACAACAACAACAACAGGAAATAGATAACAAGTAGCACACAGATAATTAATTGAAGCAAGATGTAGGTTACAGTGTCTATCAGATAACCATGTATAACTATGGCTATATAACTAGCTAGGCCACATACGATCTTAAATTTCAGATAAAGAATTCCTTCCAGTAAAAATTACCGTTTGTTTATAACTCGAAAAATACATCCCGATATGGCATGGAAGGGAAATCTGATTTGTGTACACCTACGTCCGAGTGGTTTATTGATCTACAGGATGACTAAAACGGT